AACACGTCTACTGTTAGCCAAACAGCTTTAGTCTCCATCTCGTCTTTCCTGTTTCTATCTACAATACCATTACTATCACTTCTTATGTCCTAGTCTCTTGTGTGCCAACCCACAAATGTTGCTTGCTTTGACTAGATTCAATGTTAAACCACAACATTTGTGGGTTGAAACACAAAAGACTACGACATAGGAAGTCATAGACTTGGTATTAGGGATGGAAACAGGATAGACGTGGCGGAGACTGGAGCTAGTTGGCTGACAGTAGACCTATTTGATCATAGACGTCGTAAATGAAGCAAAGGCTTGACCATGACAAGTACTGAGACTTTAGCCTCAAGTTAGCCTACCGGATTCAGAGTGTGGAAGATAATGCCCCGTGGAACAAAGATGGGGTAGCATTAGCCGAGTGAAATAATTGCAATCTCCCCAGACGGATCCTACAGGGCAAGAGGGAGTCTGATAAGACATAGGGAAGGAGGACTGCGTAACAATATACGTTGGTGAGACATGTCGACCTATTCGACAAAGACTGGGAGAGCACAAAATTGCTTGTTTAGGAAGCTGAATCCATGGTAGAAACTGGACATGAAATTGAATGATCTCAAAATAGTAGGTTCGCTGATTATGGTACGTGTGTGGTTAAAAGACGAGAGACTAGATAAATTGATAGATTAGAAAATACGTTAATGTGAGGGATGGTGTTAGAAAGTTGATTGATAGATTGAAGGAGTGTTGAGCCTCCCAGTGATGGTTCCTTTATTGTTCACACTGGTACATTTTGGATTAGGCTCATCGACCAAACCAGACGTGCCGTATCACGCATCCCCAGCCGTTCCTTCCTCGGGTGGTTAAACGGTAATGCCTCCAGATTGGGAGGTTAGGACTAGTGGCTTCGTAACTTACATGCCCACAAGCTTACATCTCATTATACTTGCCTACGGACTTACAGTCTCGGTAATGGCTTTTATTTGGGTCATTAGGCCTTTTGATAAATCTGATTTAAGACCGGTTTTGAATATAGACGCTAGCACACGCACATACTCGAGCAAAATTAGCAGGACCAGTATGAAATATAATTACTCAAATCAACCCTGCGTCTGTATAGGCTTTTAATTTTCCTTTAATTAATTGAGCCTATAAAAAAGGGTAGAGCCAGATAGTCTTGTTGATGTAGTGTTTATTATCGCTTTAGAGGAATGAGATCCAGTTCTGATGTGCATCGAAGGCCAAACGGCCCCAGTAAAATGGGATTCGCCCGTCCTCTTCTGGTAAGACCGACCTACGAATCACTACATTTCATTCTAAATGAAAGTTGCCAGGTATCTTTGTTATCTTTTAGTACCTACACTATTTTGGTTTCAATCTCCACGAGAAGGGTGGGGCCAAATGCGAATCCGCCGAGCCCAGCCATGAGGTGATTTGGGCTTATTAAATAAACGTACCAAAGTCCTTTACAAGAATATTGCTAATTTTAATAAAAACCAAATATAGGCCGCCCAAATAATATTTAGCAAGATATATTCGACTGAGATCGATTTCCATCAGCCTTACACAGCCACACTAACACTCAATTTCGCTTCACCTATTGAGTTTGAGGCGCAACGGTCATCGATATTACTTATTTTATGTGTAAGTAGTTGTGGAGTAAAGTCGCTAAAATAGGGTATCAAATCAAGTTATGAGGTCTGATGAGACGATCTCAGAAATACGCAGCACAGTTCAAGTTGGATGAGGCAAGACAAGCGGGATTCTTGTTCAAATAATCAAAATTTACAATGCGGGCAATTGAACTCACAGGATTTTACAGAGCACCTTATCACATTATCTTTATGCAGTCGAAGGAGAATTAAATTGATTGTAATCCCGGCGACAAAAAATACCTGTCCCCTAATGAAATCTCTTAAGCCGTACTAATCCTTCGTCAACACAATAACATGGATTTCTTAAAAGGCTTGTGCTGCAAGCCTGTCGTCGCTGCAGGGTGCACAAGTCCACTCGAAACACAACAATAAGAGGAAATGTTGGATATGACTTTATTTTGGTGCTTTTGAAGTAAGCCAGTCGTGGTACATGGGATGTAAGTGAATGCTGATCTGCAAGACAGGAAGTGACTAAGAGACAATAGGGAATGAGGGAAGGATGGGGTAGTAAGGATGTATGAAAAATTAAAAGGAATCGTGCATCTGCAAGAGTGAGGCTCTAGCTAAGCATGCTAATAGTGTAGATGTGTTGGTTTGTAGAAAGCCGTTGACTTCCAGGGATTGATGAAACTGGAACCCTTTGATGGGTAATCATCGGGTCAGACCGGCCGGACAGATACGGACATCGTGTTGTAATCGTGACACCGAAGGCATTTCTGAGTCCCGTTGTACTGATATGAGAACGCGATGCGAAAAATAAAAAAATTAAATACAGAAAAAAGGTTTATTCAAGAATTACCTGAGCAAGTGAAGCGACGTTGAGGCTGGAGAGGATCGCCAACTAAAAATAAGACTACGGAACATCCTGGATGATATCGGATGTGGTACGGATCGTTGTACGAGGCACACGCGAAGGAGCGGTGATGCAACAATTACACGAATAGGCGGCAAAAACCAATGAGGATCGAGGATTACCCGATGGCGGCACTTTGTACCAAAAGAGCCGTCATTCTGATCCGCCTCGTGTTGCCAACAAGAGCAGAATTCCGACAAAAAACGATCTGATGTTTAGCGTCTACGTGCCGACGAAACTACACACATTCATGCGTCTTCCCGAGGCTGGACGGGCCGAAAAATGGAGCTCGTGCGGCGCCATGTCAGCGTCTCCGTCCCGACCGACCATCTCGAGTCTGGTAATCGAGACGACCCAGCCCACTCAGACACAAGCCAGACAGCCGCAACAACGCCTTTGGCTGACTCGCTCAACTCCGGCCAGCGGCACCAACCGGTGCCGGACTCGGCGCACAATCGCTTCCTCCACCGTCCGACCCACTCGGCCCATCGCAGCCCCGCCTGCTCCATTTCGCCTCGCCACACCTCACCACGGCAAAACCCGAGGTCGGAGTGGTCGGCGTCACGGCGACGGAAGTGATGGCTTGTCCTGCCAGGACAACACTCACACTCGGCGGACACAGACGAAGACAGACAGGTGCGCGAAAGACAACCCGAGAAGACGATACAGCCCGGGGAGACAGACGGTTCTTACTCCAAAGTGGGTTCGCCAAGCGAGACCGGTTGGTTTAGTCAGGCCCCCAGAGGTTCTTCGTCGTCGTCGTCTCGGACAGCAACAGAAGCCGTAGCGCTGCCGAGGCAACGGAGAACGCGAAGCGGGCCACAACGACAAACTTGTCTGCTTTGGGCGAACCCATCGAGGGTGACCACCGCAGCCAGTCACCAGGGCGATCAAGTGTTCGGGGGTCAAGTCTGTGTGCACGCGTATCTGCCTGTGCGCTTGTGCTGGTGTGTGAGTGTAGCGGCTAGGCAATCACCAACCGACGTCGTCGCCACGACACCGACTATACCGTCGCAGGGGGCGACCGTCGGCAAGGCAGACATGCGAGGCTTGGGGGGCTGGGGAGGCGCGTTGGTGCGCGGTGTTGCGTGAGAAGATGCGGGGTGGAGGTGGCGCAGACCGACGGCGCAAAACTGGTTGCCGGGCTGGGGTTTGGCAAGATCAGTCCCGGTGTCGGTGGCCTCCGTCGGGGAGGCGTCTGTGGAGACGAGGCCACTCTCAATCGACGCAGACTCGGCGACGGTCTCGGCGGGGACTGAGGCGGCGACAAGACGCCGACGGACTCGGTTTCAACGGCGGGCCGAACGAACGGGAGCGTATGAATGCGAGCAGGTTCGCTGGAAGCGACGGAGAGAGGATAGGAAGAGTGCGCTGAGAAGACACGTTTCCGAGCCATTTAATAGTGAGGAGGGAGAGCCTGGCTGCATTCCCATTGGCTGGTCGCTGATTG